TGTGAACAAATAATGAAATATGACTGTATCAAACACAATAACAGAAGTACAAATCTGTGACTTTGACACATTTTTAATTGAAAGACATGTAAAAAGTACTGTCAGAATTATGAAGTTCATATCTTGGATTCATTAATCATGTTAATTAATTATGTTAAATTAGCAGCTGTCATTATAATCATAATCATTCAGAGAAGTTAAAGAAATATATTGTAACATAGATAACCTGCGTAGACCTAGATATTCATATGATAGATACATGTAAAATATCATTTCAATGTGTACAACCACTGCAAAGAAAATGAATGGCATTGAACTGATGGTAGACAGACAAATCATCAGTAGCAAGACAATATGCCTTATTGGGGGTAAATAACAAAAAATGATAATGAAAAAAAATATTTTGAGAATACCACATGTTACATTCTTCGGCACTAGAAATAAAACACCACTCTTAACGGTGCTTAAGGTTACTTATTGTGGTTATTTCAGATTTGTTATATATTCAATAGGTTGGTGGGATAATTTCTCCCATCACATACCAAAAATATGGGATAAATCCTATATTGACATCAATTAGTGGGATATTTTGTCCTGTGGGAAAAATAATCCCATTTTTGCCACAACCGTGGGATTTTTTTTCCCATGTGGGAGAAATTATCCCACAGTACTTTTTCTCCCATGGGATTTTGGTGGGATTTTTGGTGGGATGAAAAATCCCGTCATTCTCCCATGGGATTTTAGGTTTTGACAGAGGTTTATGAGAAAACTACTACAATGTGGAAGTTGAGATTGACATGATGAGGTCAGAATAAAAAATCCCATCAAAATATAGAAAAAAATCTAATGTAGGTCTTTTCGAAAGGGTACCTAAAAGTCCGGACTTTGTCGTGTCCGGACTTAAATGTCGCAATGTTTTTATCATAAGTACTTTATAATGACACATGAGCATATAAAAATATAGTTTAATACAGTAACTGATGTTTTGTAATACCGATTTCAAGTGCTGAACGGAAGTTTTATGGCTTCGATGTTATAGAAAATAAACACAGCAAAAATATGGGATTTTTTTCTCACATAAATACATCACCATTACTTTTATTAAGTTTATGTACCTTTTATTCTGTACTTACGATGTAAAAGATCCCATTTTTCTTAGTCGCTACTTATATTGAATACATGTGTTTGTGTTTTATCAGTGTCAATAACATCAAAACAATACTGCATACAATGTAAAAGTGAATAAACTATTTTTGTAGTACAAAGTTAAAAAAAAATCCTTAAGCATTTTATCAAACAGAAATTTAATCAATTCTTAGGATTTTCTACGCAAAAATTAACTAGTAAATTGTAGATTTAATAATGAAACGTATTTATTTTTAAGAATTAAATCCAGAAATGGTAAAAAAAAAAAAAAAGATTTTAATGATGACATGTCGTTGACTTTGAAAACAAAGTATTCTTAAGAGGGGTGCCTTTTGTTGTTGCTAATCTTTTCTTTTAGATGTATGAATGTGAACTGCTATTAAACAAGGATACATAAAGAAATCGATTACCTAAAATAGATCAAACTGAAGATAACAAAATAAAATCAACATCAACTTTGAACAAAAACAATCTTTTTACAACTTACTTTGTCAACACTTTTTGGAATAGGAAACTTGCTAATTTTATCATGAGAAGACTTGAATACTGATATCGTTAAATTATCAAAGGACTTAAAAGACCTGCAGTCGACTGTAGAAGTACTAAATTCTACATTGAGATCCATGTAGTCAGAAATCATAAAATGTAAGTATTCTTTGTTATTACAATTTTTAACAATACACATTTATACATTATATCGGTTAAAATAATGGTTCATTCGCTTTATGAAATAACACAATAGTCATGCCAGAATAAAAAATTATTCATAAAGCTGTGAAATATTTTTTTCTTCTATGCTTCAATTTGCATGATAAATAAATTAGCAGCGTAAAAAAGTTTTCTCGAAAAAAAAAACATATTACGTTTAAGTGTGAAAGCAACATTTTTATTTGACTATAGAGATGTGTGATACACCTTTTACAAATCTGGTTCATGTGTTTTTCATTTTATCACACAATAAGTAAAACATGTCAATATTCATAGATTATAATGCAATATTACTTTTTTGCAATCAGTGCAAATAGGGGCAACAAACAGACAAGTAATTGGGTTCACATACTGTCTTGGATATTCCTCACCGAGAGTGTTCGGGCCTCACCAGACAAACATATTCGACCATATGTAATCCTTAACGAAGGAGGATCGTATGATGCAAGACATGGCATGGGGTATTTCGGGCACCTGTTAGCGGTGTATACCAGTTTATTCTTACCTTCGTCACAGTGCAGCACCACACAGCCTGAATTGAAATCATAAAAGATGGCGTTCAGCTGGTATACTCGTGGGCAGGTTAGACCGATTACAATGCAGCAACCGCGCAAGTGAACGTACGGGTAGAAGCAGGACAGGATGTGTGGTGTCGAAATGCGTACACAACTGATGCTACTCACTTGCATAATGAGGGGCAGTTTTCTTGTTTTTCTGGACATATTCTTTCATAATAATTGCTTGTCGTATCAAATATATTGTTTTTCTTTCTGTCATTGCACATCCAATCGTTTTTATGCAGAATACTTAAGATTCAATGATTTCTCAAAACATTATGCAATATTCGTTTTTCATTTTAACTGTTTGTCCATTATTTATACACCGAATTGACGATGGAATTTTTCAGTTATTTTCTGATCATGTCAAAGAGCACTCGGTGGGTGTGACTGGTAGGCAGGGGATGCTCATTCTTCCATGGCACCTGACCCTGCATGATGTTTTCGAGATTTGTGTTTGCTCTGCTCCTATTTTGTATTTTTATATTGTTGCACAGTACTCTTGAAGTTTCTTCTTCACTGCTGTCAATAATATGTTAGTGAGGAGTAAAGAAAGAGATTTTGTTAAACACTTACTGGAACCCGCTTTGTTTCTTTGTTTGTAAGTATTTGTATGAATTTTCGTAATCTAATATAGATTTGCTCGTTCAAATTCATTTTGGATTATTGGGATCTTAAAAAATATTGAAAACTGACATATGATTTTGAAGAATTCCTTCCTTAGAAAGGGAACTATGATTTATCATTTCTTTGATGTTTTTGCAAAGAAAATTGATGACGATTTTACTTTATATTTTCATATAAGTTTTCAAACACCCAATGTGACACCTTGGATCAGTTTTACGTACGGTCATTTTCTTTTTAAAGTTGACCCTTCATTTAAAAAAAATTAAAATCCTCATTACGCAGGGGTTCTTTGAAGCAGGTTTGGACAAAAGTGCCCTTATTGACATGCAGTAGTATCGTTTAATAGACGATATAGAAGATATTTGTCCATCAAAGTTTTCAATTTCTAGGTATGTGTATTTTCTGCTGGATGTATGTGCATTCACCATGACCCAAACACAGATGTAATGCAATTTTCCAAAACTTTCCAAAACATATAGGACTGTTTCAAATCGTTTTCTGTTAATTTAATAAAAACTTAAAGAGTAAAATCTATTGCTAATTTATGGATACGTGTACCATCCATAGACGGGAATATATATAAACTGTAAAAAAAAATACCCGAAGCTTGAAAAAAGAAAGATTGTATTAATAGAATAATGTTCTAGAATGTTCCTACAATGCTTGGATCTGTAGATCTATCGAATCTCTGACTTCTCAACTTCAACACTTAATTGCAGCAAAATACAGTGAATAGAATGAAATGAAGGAAATGAACTTTTCAGACAAATTATGCTTATTTTGTCTGTTTTTATATAATTATAGTTTTGCAAGTAAATGCAACTTTGCATCAAATGGAATGACATTTTAGATTAGCTGAAGGCACAATTTTTTTCACTATCAAATGTCTACAGATTTCTTTTTTCCATTTACCCGAGCATAACAAAACGTACAAGGTCAATGTAAACGGTCAGCAGGGGACATTTACCTCATCAGAACACACGATAGCACCATTTATCTATTTGGAGGTCAATTAATGCTCTACGCGCAATTAGTATCAGTGGCGGATTTAAGGGGGGTGCACCCGCCCCCCCCTAAAATTGTCAAAATTTACGTAAATCACAGTTTTATTTAGAAAATATAAATATGTATACTTGGTAGACCTCTTTTTTACCCTACAAAATCTCTAGAATCCAGGAGCTTCCGGGGGCTTCGCCCCCTGGGCCCCACCAGGACTCTGCCCTGGACCCACTGGGGGCCTCAAGGCCCCCAGACTTGAGGCCCCCAGACACCTTGCCTAAATTTGGCGCCCTTTTTAACTTCAATTCCTGGATCCGCGCCAGAGTATTGTTTCAATGGACTTTTCAGCTTGACGACTGTCCATTATCTATGTATCATACCTGCAGATTAAGATTTGGTGAATAAAAGATTATTTTTCAACAAGTTCAGTTAGAATTTCCAAATAAGTATCCATCAGAGAGGACATTGAAAGAATATTTTTTTTTAAATTATGGAAAATAAGAAACGGGGAAAGTTGAAATAGTAAACTCATTGTTACTTAAACTTGTCAAAAGTTTTTCTTAAATGAAATACTTATGGAACAATCATTTCTTGCACGACACGGGTTAAATCAAGGGATCTTAAATCGTAATCTTTTTACTCTTAATGTAAGGTTTTGCCTCCAGAAGCGATACATTTTCACAATTGTAAACAGTCCTATGAGATGTAGAAGGAATTGTTTTGACGCCAATGCATTCCATGATTTACATATATATGCTAACACATAGCTCAATTAATTATTCGGTTAATTTTTCGGTTGCAAATACCCCTCCATTGAAAATTTAAATCGCATCGTGGTCAAACTGCCTACCAGTAAAAATGTATAAATAACCTATATTAAAATAAACCTGTGCAGATAAAACTCAAGTTTTGTTATACATCTGTTTGATAAGATATAACTGTTCTAGGGCAAATTCGGTCTAAAGATTGACTCGATCATCGCCTTTGATGTAAATGCACTATAACAAAAGAAACTCCCATAACAATGGGTAGAATGTTTTTCTTTTTGTCGACATTTCTTGTCTTTAGCTGTTCACTTAATGTGTCGATAGTTGGATCCACAGAGGTAGTGGAACTCCGACGGGAAATACGGATGCTGGAGCAAAGATTGCAAGCACTGGAGGTTAAGATCAGTAAGATTTTTTATATAGTTAAGTTAAATGGAAAAAGATAACATCAATACTGTGATTTGTATTCTGATGAACCAGAGTTGTTCCAGTCATCTATAAAACACTCTGAATATATACTTGTAAAATAAAAAGTTGCATATTACTCAATATCATGTGCAAGAAGTATATTGCAGGTATTTTCTTAGTACCTAAATAAACATTAGATATCACCTGTTTAATATTAATTCTTGTTTTAATGTTGTGATGAAAACATTATGCCGACTTTACTAGTAAGAACCATTTTCCCTCTAACATGCAACCACACAATAACGTATAGACCTTAAATTGAAAAATCTACAAATCTTGGTGATCTAAGCTAGGAAAACATAGTAAAGCTATGCAAATTAAAAGATAAAAATGTTTTTTTCTTATATAAAAAAATGATTTCGGTTATAGACTTTGTAAACTTTCACCAATCTAAGAGTGTCAAAAACGCACAATTTAATGTTTTATTCCCTACAAATTTCCACAAAATAGACAAAACTGTTTCACTTAACAACTTTGATCCTGAATCTCACTTAAATTTACATTACTATGAAAAAGCATCATAATTAAACATTTTTTAGGTTATATGTTTAATTTTGTGCTATTTATCGAAAAGGCAGGTTAAAATTTAGTAAATATGGATTTGACCATGAAAAGAACCCAAAGTCAGACAATCAATGATGTACTTCAAAGGTGGATAAATCGAAATATTGACTGAAAAAAAAAATTAATTGAATTTCAACGATTTAACGATACAAACTTACATCTCAATTTTAATTGCAATGACATCTTAACTGTCCAGGGGCTCATAACATGAAACTTGCTAAGTATTGCACTTAAGTAGGGTCATTTATAAGTATGTTTTTGGCTCAATCCTAGGACCTGTCTAAGTACTAGGATAAGTCTAAGTACTACTTATGTATGTCTTAAACGGCAACATAAAACGAACTTAACGAGGTCATAGATACATAAAACTTAATTCACAATTTTCTCATAAATCATGCATGTTTTTTTTATTTATATACCTGCATGATAATAAATATTTAGTATACTTTTTTATCATATATAAAATCAACTTTTTTTCTTGATTTTTTGTACGTTCATTATATTTTAAATGGAGATTCTGTTTAAAATGATACTCTCTCTCTCTCTCTCTCTCTCTCTCTCTCTCTCTCTCTCTCTCTCTCTCTCTCTCTCTCTCTCTCTCTCTCTCTCTCTCTGACCCTAGCGAACTCCCAATTCCTTATTCCGCGCTTATTGCGTTCTACATTTAATCTCATTTTCATTTTCTTTCTTTCCTTCCAGTTAAGAATATCATTTCGTTTTTCATTCTTATTGTTAGTATTATTTATACATTGAATCAATCCAACTGACGACGGAGTTTATCTGTTCCCGATCATGACAAGGAACAGACGGCGGTTGTGACCGTTCGGCAGGGGACTCACACTCCTCCATGGTACCAGATCCCACTTTTGAGTTTTTATTTTGTATTGTTTGATGGACTTTTGATCTTGAATAGTGTTTGTTATTTCCATATGTTTCAAGTCAACATAGTCAAATTCATAATACAAATTGTGTTGATCTGAAATTTCATAATTACATTCCATGTGCATATCAAGCATTAGGGATTGATTTTGAAACAAAAGAAAACATTGAATAGAAAAAAAAAACAGTTTATATAAAGCCTTTCTTCAATATAGGATGAATATTCTTCTACATCCATTTGTAAGGTTGATTTAGAGGGTTCATAATGTTGTCTACATGATCCAGTCTTTCAGTGAACATAAGGCTTTTGAGTAATAAAAAATTCATTTTACTTTAAAACAGGTAAAAAATATAGCATTTTTCTATGCATCCGTTCCAAATATGTACATATTTTTGCTAAACATTAACTTTTAAACTCTATTTCTATTATTGATTCCTAACATTTTATTTCCAAATATTTAATTTTCTTAAATTGACTTAAATTGATCTTTTTCGTAAATACTTACAGATAATACCTCAACCAATCGAACACTTCCCATCGCCTTTACAGCCTGTTTGGGAACAAGCCTTAGAACACTTGGACCTCAACAACGAATGGAATTCAATGAAGTGATCTTAAATGAAGGCGGGGCATATGACCCACGGCATGGAATATTTCGGGCACCTGCTACTGGAATCTATCGATTTGTTGTTACATTTATCAATAAGCCTTATCTTGAAGCATTGGTAGAAATTGTTAAGGATGGAATTCTGCTTAGTCGCGCTTATAGTGATTACCGTCAACACAGCGAAGGGACAGTGCAAGTCAACGTTAAGTTACAGTCTGGTGAAGATGTGTGGTGTCGAAATGCATTTTCTTCAAAATCCATCATCTTGCATCCTGATGGAAAATATACGTGTTTTTCTGGGTTTCAAATCTTATGATCCGATGACTAAAACGTATGCATAAAGAACGAGGGCTTTTGATTGGCATTCTACAGGAATCTGGGCGTACTTGAAAAGTGAAAATGTTATTGACATGTCACATGAAATTTTAATATTTGTGTTATTTCTCGGGTTCCTGTGAAATGGGAAAAGGATTTTTTTTTCCCGAAAAAGAGTTTTGATTGTTAAAAATTAACTTGATTTGATACAAAATGGTATATTTTTAAACACGTTTTTCTAGGTCTTCTCTCCATGATTTTTAAAGGTTATTTGTGTGCATTTTAAGTCAAAGAAACGAGATACATTTGCAAAAATAGAGAGGAGACCCAGAGACCACAAAAAGTCAACTTCGGACGGTATTTTTTTTTAAAATTGAAACAATCAATTCTTTTGTCAAGTTCATTATATGTCCTAATTTATCAAAATTTTGAAATGAGATAAACTTTGGTTCATGCAGTTGTACAGAGAGCGAAATCAATACCAATCTTTTATTCTATTTAAAACATGTACACGTACACTGACATGTATCATTTATGCCTTTTATCTTATAGTTGTTTATTTTTGTGAAGCATTATTATGTTATTGTTCCTACTAAGTAAAACGGCCATAAATGCTACAAAGTAACAAGGTATTTCAAACTAAATGAAAAAAATACTTTGACTGTATTTAAAACCTAACCAGCTCTGGTCAGCCAACCAAATCATGGTACAATAAAGCACAAATGTTTCGTACAATACTTGGATAAAGCAGAGAATATATCTTAAGGCCGGTGCACACGGTAAGGCTTGCCTTATAAGTCATGAAACTTAAGTTCTAGCCTTGCCATGTGTACACCCTTATTACACGTTTTTCGAAGCCTTACAAGTCTGACTTTAGAATAGAACACTGCTCTATTTCCTAATACGAGACTTAGCTGACATTTAATTCTTGACCAATAAAAACCATTTACCAAAAGTTCAATCTATTTTTATAAAACCATACACATTGGTACATTGAAGAAAACACAAAGTATATATTCAAGTAAGATAATGATACAATCTGCAAATACTCCATTTAACCTCCTCTTCCTTGTTAAGAAGTGTGGATTCACTGGTCGGTAAAACTTTTTCAAAGTCCTAGCTAGTATTATATTATTCCGTTTCATAATGTGCATTGTTTATGGTTCAAAAACACATGGAATTTATGTAAATGTTGTTTATAATATTGTAAGTCTTCCCTTAGCGTGTGGACATGGGAGCCGTGCGTCCTGCAAAACGTAAGGTTTCAGACTTATAAGGCAAGCCTTACCGTGTGTACCGGCCCTTAGGCTTAGCTTATTTATTATTCTATGACAAATAGAGATCTATTAAAACTAGGCAATACATGCAGTGCTTTGTCCATGAAATCAATCATTTCCCTTTAACTAAATTATAAGATCAATGTTATATACCGTTTCTTGAGACATAAAAATATTCTTATATATTTTTATATGTAAAACTTTATGTTTTTACAAAAAAAGAGAAAAGTTTTGTTTTCAATATAATGTGTTCTGTAATTGAGGTCAAAAGAGGGCTCATTAATTAAAAATTAATTTAAAAATAGATTCATTGCAGGAGAGGCTGATCGGAGTAGATATGAGGGCTGTTCAATAAATAATGTCCAGGGCTCTATGACACACAAAATATATGACATTAAGCTTGACTTTCTCTCATGATGAAATTTTTAACGAATTGACTCCAGTTTATATGATCACTTTTCTCTACATAGTTTCACTATTAGAAGCTAGAAAACAAAGGCTATTTGAGACATTGCATTATAAATGAATGGTAAAGAGTAAGTAAACTAGAGTGAAAATAAACGCTTCATGAAAGCTGCTGTTAAACTCGTTAGGAATCCCAAAGAAATATTTACTGAAATATGTGAAATTTACAGCAGCCAATATTTGTTTTATTGACACATTAAAAAATTATATTTTGTGTGGATTTCAATTAACATAATTGATATAATGGGCATCAATACATGGGTACCGTCCTTGGCGACAAAGACTTACAACAACCAATGCACGGTTTGCCAAATTTCAACAATTATCACTGATGATGTTTGACTGCCTTTAAGATACATAGCAAAATTGATAAGCATCATATTAGAGGTAGTTTATACTGTTTTAAGAAACAATTAGCAGTAAAAAGGCTTAGTACTTAGTGGTCACCCTATATTTTGAAAAATAAGTGAAAACGGCATCGTGTAAGAATATCTAACCAATATTATTTTTTAAAAACTCAAAAATTGTAGTTATCCACATTTGTGTAAAATTTGAATAGATAATGAAACTTGAATCCATTAATTCAAACCTTCAAAACAAATTTACAATAAGATACATGTGACAAAAACAGCCCACGTCTGAGAAGAGCAAAGAATTGCAAGAGCACAAAAACAGTTTTGTATGACATTTTCTTAAAAATCATTGGTCTTGTTGTTCAAATACTTAATCGAGGAGGCAGTTCAATTTTTGAAGGACTCTAGAAAGCACACTTTTTGTAAAAAATATCAAAAGGTTTATGAAAGGATGGAATCAGAATCAAGAATCCACTACATTAAATTACTAGTAATTCATGACAGCGTCAAACCATAAAGCCATGATGCGTAAAAGAGTTTTGGGGATTGACAGAAAGTTAATGTTTTGTCACATCAATAATATTCGCCAGATTATTCACCATTGACTTGTTTCACTTTCAAACTTAGAAAAACATCTTTCAGAAAGAAGAAACAAGTCCAGGAAAGCATAGGATCTGCCATATTCCAGTATACGAAGGGCCATACTCAAAAAGGTATTCTAAAACAATCAGAACTGGATAAAAATGTTTAAGACATGTGTTGTAACTGAAAGAGAATATTCACTATAGAATAATAAATGTATAATAATAATAAGAAATAAAGAGAATACAAAATGACTAAAAGACTAGATCGTTGAAAAGCCTTTTTTGTTTCTTTCCGAGCACCGAGGACATTACTTATTGAACAGCTCTCGTATAAAATGATATTTATACACTAAATAAACTAAGGTTTTTCGCTTATTCTTTGTTTATGACAAGGAGAACACGGTGGATGTGGCCGGTCGGCAGGGGGTGCTCACTCTTCCATGGTACCTGATCCCATCTCTGTTTCAAAGGTCCGTATCTGCTCTGGTTTCGATTTGTATTGTTTAAATTAACTTTGAGCTTATCTCTATATTTCATTCAAAGTCAAGGTCAAAAGACCCTTTTTATTGTTTCAAAAAGAAAAAAGACATTAGTTAAAGGTTTTGCTGTATGCAGTTTTGTCTATCACTTTGAAAACAACGTATTCTTAATCGGAGTGCATTTTGGTGTTGCTAATCTTTTCTGATAGATTTATGAATGTGAAAACTTATTGAACAAGGATACACAAAGAGACTGTTTACTTAAAATAGATCAAATTGAGATAACAAAATAAAATCAGTCTAGAAGCAAAAATATTTCATCCGAAATTTGGTGATTTGGGATTAAAAAAGTATTTCCACTCATTTCTACATTTTGTTTTTGTCCGAGCTAACGGAAGATTTAACATTGTTTAATAATGGTTTTATTACATTTTTTGTCAACATTTATTGGAATTGGGAACGTGCTTTTTTTCACATCAGCAGACCTGAATACCGATATTGTGAAATTATCAAAGGACTTAAATGACATGAAGGC